TTTTTTTTGATAGTTTGTTTAAATATCCCTGTGTTTATCCTTTTATCCCCTTTCCGGTTTAATCTAACAGGCAAGAGGAGTCCAAACCACTTGCTGCCTATTGTAGTTGGTAAGAAATCAAGTAGCCTGCTGGTAAACACTGTTGAGCAGTGGATTACTGGACATCCATGGGAGGATCAGCCAGTCTTTCCCACGTGTTTTCCACGTGTGTTTTTGCTGTAGAATGAAAAGATGCAAGAGCACAAAACCTCTGCTGTCAACCCAGGCTGGATCAGGTTGGATGGGGCTCTGAGAAACCTGGGCTAGTGGAAGGTGTCCCTGCTCGTGGCAGGGGGTTGGAACAAGATGAGCTCTAAGGTCCTTTCCAACCCAAACCATTCCATGATTCTGTGACCCCTCACTCTGTGCTGTTGTCTTTCGGGCAGGATGTGTCCGTGGCAGAGACCGGCCTTTCCCTCTTGGTAACGCTGACAGGAGGGAGTTTCCCCCCCGTGGTATTTTTGGAAGTTTGTGCACCCAGGCGCTTCGTGACGATTTTTGCACGCTTGTTGGCTGAGGTATTTTGAGGTTATGGTGCTGACTGGGACATTGGTGGTCCGGGCTCTGTCCCAGCTTCACCAAACCTCCCCAGCTCCGGGGCCGCGCGGCTGCTGCCGACAGGTGCCAGGGAGGATCTCGGGGCTGCCAAAAGCCTGGAGGAGCTAAGAATAACCCCCCTGTCCTGAGAGCTTTAATGTGGTGCCAGCAGGATGCAGAGAAGGGCTTTTTTTTAAAAATAGAAGCACAACTGTGTTTTCCTGCTGGCTGAAGGAGTCTCGGGATGGCTGCTGTGGTGGGAAGAGGGGCTGCTGGAGGAGGAGTGCCCTGCTCGGCCTTGTGGGGTGGCAGGAGGCTCTTGGATTTTCATAGCATTGCTTCAGAGTCCAGGATTTCCCCTAAAATACTGACTGCAGTGGTGGGTAATGTGGAGTGTGTGACTTTAGATAGCGTTGAGTCTCAAGTCTGAAGTGTTGCTTGGCTCTTAACCCAGGCAGGTTCCTCCAGCTCTTCTGCAGGTCCTGTTGAACACTGGGGCTGTGCAGCAGCTGTGTGATGGAAGGAAGGGGACGAGGAGAGCAGCCTGTGGGGCAAAGACAGCCTGGCTTGGACAGGGAGACTGCAGTGAGAGCCATGAGCAGCCCTGGCTCTCAGTGAGCAGCTCTGCTTTGGTGGGTGCTTGGGGGAGGTGGTGAAGGAGAAGATGGGGGGAATGCCTGCCCCTAAACAGCTCTTAATCATCCAGAGGGGTTCAATCCTCTCCTTTCCCTCTGCCTCTTTGTTACTGTCCCCTCTCATTACACATATTGATGCCCCTCTCCCTGTCCTGTGCATCCCCCGGGGTGGGCTCGTGCTTTGGCTGCGTTGGAGCTGACAGTGCTGGAGGTTTTTAGCTGCTGTGCCATGTGAGGGGTGGAGGGAGCAGGAGGAGGAGGAGGAGGAGGGCTGTTGGTGGCCGAGGGGCCCCTGCCTCGCCGGGTGCCCGCGCAGACAGAGGCGTGTTATGAAATCCCCTGTCGCTCCTGGCCTGGCCTTCCCCTGCTCCAAACAAACCCCCAGCAGCCACCCAGTGTGGGAGCTGTTTGTCTCACCCAGGGAAGAGCCACAGTCCCAGCCCTGAGACTCTGGCAGCCTCTGAACCACTCTGGATGTTGTGCTGGGTGTGGGTTCACCAGGCAGGAGCACCCTTTTGGCACTGCTCAGGTGATTCCAAGGTGGGTGGTGGGTCCCAGCAGCCGGGGGGATGCTCCACTCTGCATCCCTGCAGAGCATCACAGCGGGGTTGCACATCCTGGGCTCGTCTCAGGGAGGTGTTTGCTGTGCCCTGCTGTTGACTAAGCCCGTGACAAAGGTGAAACTGAGTTAAATAAACAACTGAGAAAGGACAGGATGATGCAAAACGTGCTGTCGTCACCGAGCTTCGAGGGTGCGTAAATGGAACCCTCCTCAGACTTGGCACTGGTGCAGGAAACACATCCCGAGGCCATGCTGCTCCCAGCACCAGGGGTGAATGATGCTTGGAAAGAGCTTGGCCTTGATGCAACTTTGTGCTTTGGTTTGGTTTTTTTTTTTTTTCCCCCTCCTTTAAATATACATGTATTTATTTATGCTGCTCTAAGATGTGTGTGGAAAGGCAGCAGGCAGGATCAGTGTGCTGGGGGGGGCTGGCAGACACTCATCTACCCCATGGGGGGGCCCTGCCCATGGGCCGAGCCCTGAGAAACTTCATTTTTGGGAAGAGCACGAGCCCAGGAGCTGCCGGGAAGCGGTGGGTGTTGTGGGCCTTCTGGCAGGGCTTCACGGCTCCAGCGCTTGCAGGCGTGGATCTGGGCCATCCCAGGCCTCTCCCCGAAATCACTTCCAGCCTTAAACGTAAGGAATGGGGTAGGCACGTCCGAGAACAAAAGCAGTTCTGGGATGTAGGTGTGGGGAATCCAAAGCTGCCCCTGGGGTCGGAGGCGATGGTGGGGTCAGGCAGGGTTGTCCCCAGGGTTGGTGTGAAGAAGGGACCCAAAATGATGCTCTGAGTGCCCGGTGCTGTCCGTGGGCCGTGTGGTCCGTGTGTCTGACGTGGAGGGGAAGCCCCGGCATAGGGGGCTGGTGGAGGCAGCCTGAGATAAGGGGTTTTTCAAGCTGTGCCTGTGGGAGGGGAGCACAAAGGACAGAGGTCAGCGCTGAGTTAATGGTTTACATCAGCGTTTGCTTGTGTATTAATCACACCTGCAAATATCAACCACTTCCTATCGTAAAAGCACATATGGGCGCTTTTTCCGTTTGCCCATATGTGATCAGCTCTGATAGGAAACCTGGCAAGGGACAGGGCTTGGGGAGGGGTCGGGAGGAGGAGCTGACCCCAGCCCGGAGCTCTGCAAAGGGGTGGAAGTGAAGGGGCTGTGTGTGGAGCAGATCCGCTGGCTGCTCTCGCGGGAAGATATCCGCCCTTCCCGTGGCTCCCTGTTTTCCTTTCGCTTTGTATTGTGCGGATAAAAGGCCCTGGCAGATGCAGCAGAGGCGTGCAGGGTGCAGGGGTCTGGTTTGCAGAGAGGAGTCTCTGAGCATCCCCCCCAAAGTGGCTGTTTGGAGCTGGGCTGTGGCTTCTGCTGGCCCAAGACAGTTTGTCCCTTCCCTGCTCAGACCCAGTGTTGTGGTGGCTCCTGGTGGGAAGGGACATCTTGGATACCTGTAGAAAGGGATGGGCTGAGGCATTTTGGCCATCATGACCCCCTTTGTTCCCATTGGATTCATGGAGAGGTCCTGGCCAGGGTGGTGGCTCCATCGCTCCAGGCTGACCTGCTCCCTGGGACCTCTGGCATGACCTTCTCCGTGCACAGCAGGACATGGGACCTTGCCAACCATGGCTCATGCCTGGGTTGATCCTGGCTCCTCATGCCAGCCCTGGTGCCTCCAGGAGAGATGAGCATCCGGTGAGTCAACAAAACCCAGTGCTGCTGATGATGGAGGGAAGGAAGAGGATGATCCCAAAACAAAAACACGGGACTGAATAGGCCCCTAAGTTTGTTTTTCTCAGATACATGAAGCTGAAGCTCTTTATTTCTCTTCATTAAGCACCAGCTCCAACCTGCTGCTGCTGCGTGACTCAGTGGGGATGCTTCATGCTGCTGCCTTGTTGCCATTTACCTGCTTTGACTTTTCCCTGTGAGTTTTGCAGCCCCCTCCCACCCACCTCCCTGTCTCCTCCCTACACCCTCTTCCCCCACCGTGTCCCCACCCTGCTGGTGCCCTTCCCTCGGCACCCACGGTGCCAATCCTGGGTACCCTCTTTGGCACTTGGTCTCCTTGAAATCCGTGTGCCAGGAATATTTTTTTTTTGCTGCTTGGGGAAGGGGCTCTGCAGAGCGGGGCTGGCCGGGGGGCAGCGCCCCAATTGCGTGGGGGGCACGGGCCCCTGGCAGGTGGCTCTTATTTAAGCCCAGGCCTCTCTTCTGCTCCTCGCCTTTGTGTGCCTCGAGAGGCTTTTGTTGCAGCCTGAAAAGGCTGAATAGCTGCTGCATCTGTCGCGGGGGAGAGCGGGGCGAGGAAATGCTCAGCAGATGCCCCGGGCAGGGGGGGAGATGCGGGGCGGGGGGTCCCGAGCATCCCCCGCCGGGCACGGACCCCCGCGGGAGCTGCGGGCAGGGGAACCGGCAGCACACGGGCACGGAGGGTTGTGCAACCGCGGCAGGCGAGCGAGGCCCCTTGTGAAAGAGCGAGAGCCGCCTCTCCCCTCGCCCCATTGCAAAATCGCCCGCAGGAGCCGGGACGAGGCGCCCGCTCCGACATCTGCCTCCGCTCCGACATCTGCTCTGCTCTGACATCTGCCTCCGCTCTGCTGGCTGCTCCTGGAAGGGATTTTAGCTCGCCTCTTCATGCCTGGCTTGTTGCTCGTCTCAGGCCACGCACTGGGAAGGCTTTCCCTGAGCTCGCTGCGATGGCTCCAGGTCTCCCTCCGAGTGCTCCCATAATTCAGGCTGCGAGAATGCGGCCGAGCAGCTCGAGTGTGTGTGTGTCAGTTCGCGTTTGCTCAGCCTGAGTTGCGTCTCCTGTCTTGCTCCCTCTTTGTAGCTCTTTCTAATCTGAATAATTCTCTCTTGCTGGGATCCTTCTTCCAAACCTTTCCGTCTTCCTTGAGGCAAGAGAACGTGGAGGAACCTTTTGTTCATGGCTGTGGAGGATGGGGCTGGCTGTGCTCGTGTCTTGCCCGAGCGGTCAAAGCCTCAACATCCTCCTGGGCCCTCATGGCACCTCTGGAAGTTGGGTAGCTGATGCCTGGTGCTGTCCTGCCTTGCGAGCCATGAGGTTGGATGAAGCCACCTCCATGAGGGAGCAGCAGCCACCCTTCCAAACAGTCACCCTGGCATGGCAGGCCGGGACACGCTGCAGGCAGAACACTGCCGGACCCACGCACGGCTCCTCCTCCGGACGCGTCACCTCTCCTCCCTGGCTTTCCCCGGGCAAAACAAAAGTGAGGATGATGCTTTTTGCCTGGTCTGTTGGAGCTTCAGGCTCTCTATCTGTGGCTCTGTGTGCGTGGGCAGGGCAGAAATGATCCCCAGCCTGGGAAAGTCCCGCCAGTTCTGTCTGTCCTGGTGGGTGTAAGCAGCAGGGATGGGGTTAATGTAAAGGTTTATATAAGAGCCATGGTGATGTGGGGGAGGTTTCCTGAGCTGCACGTTTAATTGTTCTTGCTTTGTGGTTGAACCATGAATTTCCCTCCGTTTGGTAACATAATTCCTCTTATGGGCTTTGGGACTCGTGATTTTATTTCTCTTCTGTAGTTCATAAACAGTAAAAGCGGAACGAAGCTTCGCTGCTCCCACGTCCTTCTGCTGCCCTCTCCCTCTGAACCGTGTCTGCCAGAGGCTGAGGCAGCTTTGGGGCGATTGCCTGTGGGCTCCCCAAATATTCTGGCGTTAAAGGCTCAGTTCAATCCGGGTCCCCCTGCACTGTGGGTCCTGGGGGCGATGGGGTTTGCCTTCCCAGTGCTGCGAGGTGGGAACAGCACGTGCAAAGCTTCCAGGACTGGCTCTACAAATGTGTAAAGCAGCTGACGCCAGTTGGCAACGAGTTTGCAGGGGAAGATTAGGAGAGGAAAATCCTTTGAAGAGAAACCCTTTTGCTTTATTAGGAAAAAATGCTCCTTGCCCCGTGTCAGCCGGGTCAGGGGAATCCGAAGCCTGTGTGTGTGATCCAGGCAGGGGGAACCTCTGCTTTGCTTCCCTGCTGATAACTTGGGAGGATGACAGGTTTTCTCTCTTTGCTGTAGGTTTATTCTTGCTGCAACTTAAGAAGGGTTTATTTTAACCCCTGTGGTGCAGGCAGGCCCTGAGGGGAGCTCCTGGGGGTGGTGTGGGGTCTGGATAAGCTCCTGCAAGTCCTGACAGAGGGATGGTTGCTGCACAGGTGAGGCACATGGTGTGTGCTCCTCTGCTGGGGGACTGTGGAGAACCAGGTGTGATCAAAATACACATGGAAATAAAACCACCCTGCCTGCAAGAGCAGCTGGAGCGCCCGGGGTGAGCGTGTGGTGAAGAGGGGCAGCCTTGGAAAATGAACAACTCAGCATGCCAGTATGGGCCTGATCCTTACTTTCCTTGGAAATTGCCCATGGGAGGTGAGTTTCTCCTGTGCAAGCTCTTGGACAGGGATTTCTTGCCAGTCTGAGGGAGTGCAGTGTGTTCTTGGCTCGCCGAGGGGCAGAAGCGTTTGGGGCTGCGGTGGCACCCAGGGCAAGGAGCGGCAGGACAGTGTCCTCAGGGACCTCCTGCCGTGCCAGTGGAGGAGGGACCTTCCTTTTCCTTCCTTTTCCAACCTGCTGTGACTCATGGAACATCATCCCAGGAGGAGGTGGCGAGACTGAATCAGTGGTGCCTGAGGGAGAGGGAACGTGAGCGCGGGTGGCTCCAGCCCCCTTGTTTGCTCCAGTGCTTTCCTTCCTTCCTTCCTTCCTCCCTCGTGCCCACCCACCTTTGCTGGGCTTGCTGGGAGGTGATGGGGGGAGAATTCAGCTCCACGTGCTCCTGAGCAAATAGGACAGAGCCCCCAGCCCTCCCTTGGAGCTGAAGTTCATTTTCAATGCCCTTGGGAGCAGGCTGAGCCTGGGTTTGGGTTTGGGTTTGCTACTGGGGTGCCATCTCCCTGCAGACATCCCAATGAGCCGTTTGCTTTTCAGGAGCTGCTTCCAGGGTTTGTCTTTCAGAGTTGGTGAAAAGCTCAGAGCTCCTGCAGGAGCCCTTGAGGAGCCTTTGCTGCTGTCGGGGTGCTGAGCACGTAGGGGCTGGGCTGTGCCATCCCCTGATGGGACCAGTTTTGGAGCTTGAGGGTTTTAATGAAGCTAATGAGTGTGTTTAGCTTTGCACAGAACTAATTTCTCTCACAGTGTGGAATGGCTCCTGGGGGAGCTGGGCTGAGCCAAGGCTCAGGATGGCAGCAAACGCCGTCTGCCGAAATCTCGGAGGTGTCAAACTGCTGCGAGGGGAGCTGGAATGTGGCTGAAAGCTGAATTTCCTCCCTCACTGCCAGGAGGGTGGAGTGTCCCTTTCCTTGCTCTCCCTCCTTTCCTGCAGGGAGGTGCCCTAATGGGAAGCAGAAACGGGATGGGGCAGAGCTCTGGGTTGCCACAGCTTTGCTGGTTGTCCTCTGTCCATTGCCATGTTGAAGGGATACAGGGATGCTCTCTGATGATGAGCTGATGGTTGGAGATGTGCACTGGCTGCAAATGTGACACCTAAAGCACATAACAACTTTAATGGGAAAGGGAAAGGGATGCAACTCCTCTGAGTGTGAATCCTGCCTGGGTTTGTTCTGAGGTGGTGGTGGAGCCTCCTCTGCAGCACTGCCCTTGTTCTCTGTCCTGGGGACACTTGTGTAACTCAGGGATCTGGTTACTGCCCAGCTCAACTGCTGGAGCCTCTGCTCCAGCCAGAGCAAGCAGGTAGAGCAGCGTTTTCTATCTGAAATAATGAAGGGTTTGATCCCCACGGAGCCCTCCCTTGGAAGGGGAACAGAAGACAAGAGATGGAAAAGCTGAACTGAGAGCAGCTGTGGGCTTTTGGGGGGTTTCCAGCAGCTTGTCCCATGTGCTGCCCTTGCTGCTCTGCAAAGGGTTAACCCTGGTTGTGCTCCAGGTTACTGCTGTTGCAAAATCTGCTGGGGTGGGATGGGGGCAGTTGACCCTTGTTGAACCTCAGGGAAACACGAGGTGCTTTTCCCATCCCAGCCTCCTCATTGCAAGCCAAGAAATACAAATCTTGCCATGGCCATAGGCTGCCCTGCATTCCAGAGCTGAAGCAGGGACGTGGGCAGTGTTACCACACCCCCCAAGTGCGTTCGATGTGGAGTTCCTGTAACTGGAGCTGGGACGTCACCCACCACTGGTTTCACTGCTGGCTGTGGCCAAGGGATGGGAAGGAAAGTTGTCAGCTGTGGGAGCCTCTGTGGGAGCAGAAACTGGTGGAAGCACTGCTGGGTCCTGTCTGGATCAGGACCAAACAGTGTCACCCCTGTGTCATGCTCAGCACATCCCCAGCTGCCCCGGGCACAGGGAGCCGGTACCTGTGCTGAGGGCAGGATGTTGTGGGGTGTAGAAGGTGATACTGGGCCTGTGGGCTGGTTCTGCCGTGGCTTGGGCATCACCTTGTCCTTCCTGCGTTGGTAATGGCCTTCCCCACACAGCCTCATTGCATCTGGCCTTCAGCTCCCCGTGATGCCGCTGTCCTCCGCCACCGGGAACATTTCCTAAATTAACCAAATCATTGCCTTAACAAGGCTTAATCTGCTCCTCTCAAAGCCTCTCCATCACATCTCCATCCCTGGCTGGCAGGGGAGTGGAGGGAGCAGCTGGATCACAGCCGGGTGTTCCCAGAGCACCGGGGCAGCTGTTGGCTCTCGGCGGGTACCCGAGTACAGACACAAACGTCAGGGCTGTGCTGGTACAGGTAATGGAGCCTGCTGCCTCCTACTTCATTAAAAATACAATTAATCTCCTTTAAAAGCGCCCTGAGTGACCTCTAAAAATGGGATGTATTTTGCTGTACCTCTCCTGTTTGTCTTGTGCAGAATGATGTTAACTAGCTGCTTCCTGCTGTTCCATTTTCCCAGAGCGTAATTACAAATCGGGTTCTTTTTTTTTTCTCTTCAGCTTCCTGGCTCCCCACACCAGGATCTTCGGAGCAGGGCTGCAAATAGCCAAGCTTTTCTCCAAAGCTCTTTGCGTGGCTCCTGGGGGGGCTGGTGATATGTTTGCTTACGGTTTTGGCTTCCGCAGGATCCAGTTTTTAGGGTAATTAAGCAATAGAGGAGCAAGGAGGGGCCGTCCAACCTCCTGCCCTGTCTTCCTTTCACCCCGAGGCTGTCGGTGCAGATGATGTCAAGCAGTTGTGCAAAGGTTGGCTTGGCCACTTTGGTCCTCCCTGAGCTTCCAGATGCCATCCTACACCCCATGTGCTGTCGCAGGTTTCCACTGGCATGGGATTCCTCCACCTCAGGAAGCAGGAGAGCCGAGGAGGTGGGAGAGGTGTGACTAAACCAACCCCATGGAAGGATGGGGTTATGGGTGGGTGGCTGAAAGGCACATCCTGTTTTACCTTTTCCTGTGGCAAAGGACAGTTACAGTTCCAGGCAGGAGTGCAGATTGCCATTACTCTGCCAGGGCATCATCAGTGAGTGTTTCATCTCTCAACAGGCAATGAGTGGGTTTTGGGGCTGCAGTGAGTATTAACCTTGTTCCTGTGAATTCCCCCCTGCGCTGGGCACCACTCTGCGTCCTACCAGGCCAGCAAAGCATCCCAGGGCTGATGCTCCCATGCTCCTGGAGCTTGTCCAGGAGAGGCCAGAGGGGTCAGAAGTACTTTTCTGTCAAAATCTTGGTAAAATGACCAAACCTGCTGTTTCCTGCTGATGCACACGGAGGGTGGGGGTGTGTTTCCACATCCCTCTGCTCCGAGGTACAGACCTGCTCCAAAGGGTGTTTCACTGAGAGCTGCCAGAGACAGGAAGGAAAATGAACTGTGCTCAGGATAGACACGTTTGTTGCTCTATATTTAGGAGCATAATTAAGGCTGGTTGTTTATCCTGACAAACACGGTAATTAATAGTCTGTGGCAGACAAGCAAATCCTTCCTGCACCTGGGAACTGTGAGTTGTCTTTGGGAAGGGCAGGGGCCTCATTAAAGACCTGCTGGTGCCCGGGAGAAAAGCTGCTATTTAGGGAACATCTGGCTGTTTGCTTTGTCCCCTCCCCAGGCACACGTGGCCTGGTGCTGGTGGCCTCTGAAGTTGTGGTGAGGGAGCTTTTGTGGTCAGCCCACGTGTCAGGGCAGGAGGGTCCTGCTGGACCCACGGAGCAGAAGGCTGAGGGATGGGAAGTGACAGGGGCTGCGTAAAGCAAGGTGTGAGGGTGGTTGGTGGCACTCGGGGTGTCAGTGGTGTAGGTGTCAGAATTTGGCTCATGAAAGCAGTAGGTCTTGCTGGTTGGGCACTGGGGGTGGCAGTGAGGTGACAGGCGGCTGGGATAAGGTTTTACCAGCTTTGGAGGGGAAGGGCAAGAAGCTTCTGAGGGCAAACGGCTTCTCACTCTTCCCACTAGATGGGGATGGAGGCATTGTCAGAGCGCGTCTCCCGCGCCCGCAGGGAGCACCCTGCTCGGCCCCTGAGTCTTCTCGGGTGGGCACTGTGCCAGCAAGGGGTCATGGCCTGGCTCTTCTGAGAGGCTCGAGGCTGATGGGGGTCTCCTTTCTCTCACAGATGCTGCAGGACTGCCCCAAGGCCCGCAGGGAGGTGGAGCTGCACTGGCGGGCGTCGCAGTGCGCGCACATCGTCCGCATCATGGACGTCTACGAGAACCTCTACCAGGGGAGGAAGTGTCTGCTCATCGTCATGGAGTGGTGAGTCCCCGGCCGAGGGGCACCCCCAGCCCTGCGGGGGGGTGGGGTGACGCCAGAAGTGGGGTGAGCACCTTCCAGCACTGCTGCTGGGATGCTGGGGACCCTGGGGAGGTGCCGTGCCAGGGGATGCAGCCTGTGAGCCGTAGGGAGGGCAGCCCTGGCAGAGGAGCTGCAGTGCTGGTGTTGGAGGGGCAGCGGGAGCTGCACTGGCTCTGAGTCATTCTGAAAACCCTCTTGGCTGTCGGGAGGCTGAGGGCCTGTGGTTCTCACAGGTAGATCATAACCAAACTCGCTTTGGCCATCGAAATTTGGGGTAGTCAGCGTGTTCCTGGCAGCCTGTGGTGGGTCCGTGGGGCCGCAGCCACGCCGAGCTGACACGTCTGTTAACGCTGTGGCACCTCCTGCAGCAGCAGTCAGGTGGCTCCGGGTCGGGTAGATGTTTGATACAACCTGGGGAGGAGGAGGAGGAATGAAGGGGAAAGTATTGAAACCACATCCCAACCGCAGCTGTGATTTGATGCAGCTTCCTTGCCAAAACCTCTCCTCTGGCAAGCTGGTAGGTTGCCCGGGGGGGCAGCGGGTGCGAGGAGCAGCGCCGGGGCAGGCGGCACAGGCAGCGGCTCTTGTGGGGGAAGAGGCTTCCGAGAACCACACTGGGCAGCCAGGGGTGGGAAAGGTGTGTGTGGTATGGAAAGAAGGAGTAGCTGAGTGGTAGGAAACAGGTCCCCGGGGCTGTGTCTCTGAGAGCTCCATGCTGTCCGAGGGTGCTCTGGGTGTAGCGCCCGTCACAAGGCAGTGTTTGGTTCTGACGTGAGCTTGGTGTGTCTCCATCCTCACAGGGCCCTGAGGGCTGCCCACTATTGGTATTGCAGATGTCTAGAGAATGTCAGGGGCGCTGGCAGGAGATGCTGTCAGTGCTGGGAAAGCAAGAAACTGTTTCTGCTTGACTCAGATAAGGCAGGGACAGGAAGCGCCATTATCCCTGCTCACGGAGAATTCTCCCGTTATCTCACTCCTGATCTCTCTGGGAGCTGAGTTTTTCCTGAGGGTACCCGGGGAGGGAACCACGCCAAGGATCCCATGGTGCTTCTCCAACACCTCACATGAGACCTTGCTGTGCTGCAGTGGGGTCCAGCCTTTGCCTCCCCCACCCCATTGCCGAGCCCGTCTCGGTGCTGCTGATGCCTCTCCCATGCCCTGAGCTCGACTCAGCACTTCTGCCCGGGGTTTGTGTGCCGGTGAGGGGGTTGTCTGGTGAGCAAAAGGAGGGCAGGGTGTGCTGGGAGTGCTCTCACCACCTTCAAGCCACATTTGCTGTCTTTACTGTAAATGTGTTTTCTGTGGGCTGGTGGGGCGACCACGTCCGCCTGCCCCCGGCGTCCCCACGGCCGGCACGGAGCCTCTGCCCTGCTCATTTCTGGAAGGAGGAGGCTCTGAAACGCCCCACGCCCAGAAGCACCGACCCAAGGGCTTGGATGGAGAAGGGGGTTGTTTCTTGCTGAGCTTGTGCAGCTCCTGAGTGAGCATCAGAGGTTTTGGCACAGCTCGTGCCGGCGTGGGGTGGACCTGCAGCATCTAACGCCGCCTGCTTCTCTTCCAGCCTGGATGGTGGGGAGCTCTTCAGCCGCATTCAAGACAGGGGAGACCAGGCCTTCACAGAACGGGGTATGGAGCCCACAGGGTGCTGGGGTTTTGTCTTTGGACCATGTTTTGATGTTTGTAGAAGTATCTCTGGTCTAGCCTGTTCTCTCAATGACTCCTTTGGATCCCCAGCAGAGTTTTGCACTCAGGGAATGAGGAATGTGGGTGCAAGTGCTCCTGCTTTTCACGTTCACTTGAGAGCAGGGTTAGGGGATGTTTTCTCAGCTACCCTCCCACCCTCTCTGTCCCAGTCCAGCACAGGTAGGAGATTCAGTGCTCTTTAGAAACACCAACCTCCCTCAAAAAATGAAGTCCAGGGGCTGTGGTTCTCATGAATCTCATTCATTTCATCCCTTCTACTCTTACTGCCAGGAAAAGCAACTACACAACCCAAACCCTGAGCCTGTTGCCCCCTTGGCTTCCCATCCTACGGAGAAAGCTTTCCCAGCTGGATTCCCTGCTGGCTGGGGGTACTTAGTGGTGTGAACCCCTCCTTGGATATTGGGGTCAGGGGCTGGAGCCTGCTCCATCCCTTCTCCTGGGAGTTTCTGTCCCATTTGCTGCAGGCTCCTGACCCAGGGATGGGTGCTGGGTGGGCCTCTGTGGAAAGGAACTCTTGTTTCAGAGGAAACCCCTTCGGCTTCAGCCAGGCTGTTTGGTTTGTAGAGTTTTCAAGGAAGTAGTGCTCATTTTAACTTGCTTATGAAGGCTTAATGATGGGTTTTTTTGCTGCTTCAGAGGCTTCAGAGATCATGAAGAGCATTGGGGAAGCCATCCAGTACCTGCACTCGATCAACATCGCGCACCGGGACGTGAAGGTACAGTGCACCTTCACCCCCCTTGGCCTGTGCCAATGCCAGGCTGCCCCAGCCCTGCTGCTCACTCCTTCTTCCCTGTGTGTTTGCAGCCTGAAAACCTGTTGTACACCTCCAAAAGGCCCAATGCTGTGCTAAAACTCACAGACTTTGGCTTTGCTAAAGAAACCACCACGCACAACTCCTTGGCCACTCCGTGCTACACGCCGTACTACGTGGGTGAGTGCCCGGGGGGGTCTGAGCTTCCAGGTTTGCAGAGCTGGAGGGCAGATCTTGGGGGGGTTTGGGCAGTGCCATGTGTGGCCCATCACCTCTGCATCCAGCCTGGAGCCCCATTTGCAGCCTGGTGCTGGGGGCAACAGTCTCCACTGCTCCAGGCAGCGCTGCCGAGAGTGCCCGGAGCTGCAGGTGGATCCATGGGATGGTCGCATCTCTTCCACCCGGTGCTGCCACGTGGACTCAGGAATTTTCCTCTCTTTCAGCCCCGGAGGTGCTGGGCCCAGAGAAGTATGACAAGTCCTGTGACATGTGGTCCCTCGGTGTCATCATGTACATTCTGTAAGTCTGATGATCCCTCTCCATCCTCCTGGGGTCAGAAGAGGGGGCAGAACCTTTCTCAGCTGCTCCTGTTCCTGGCACTGCCCCGTGCCCTTCAGGTGCTGCTGGGGAGGTTTTTGGGGTGACACATTGACTCTGTTCCCTCTCCTGGCACAGGCTGTGTGGGTACCCCCCCTTCTACTCCAACCACGGCCTGGCCATCTCTCCTGGCATGAAGAAGCGAATCCGAATGGGCCAGTACGAGTTTCCCAATCCTGAATGGTCCGAGGTGTCAGAGGAAGGTACATGTGGTCCCCGTGGTGGCTTGTCCCCAAGCTGAGGTCTCACTTTGGGGTCAGCTCTGTCCAGCAGTGCTGTGAGGACTGAGGGGAGCTTGGGCACGTCATGGGTCAGCTCTCAGGGGTGCAGCAGCTTCACCTCTTTCCTCGAGAGGCTTTTGCTGAAGGGTTTGACCAGGGTGAGCTCTGTGGCACAGCAGGGGTGTGTGTGCATGTATTTTGGGGCTGGTGGCTCAGGTGGGAGCTCAGGGAGATTTCCCCTGGGACCTGCTGATGCCTGACCCTGCTCAAACCCTTCCAGTGAAGCAGCTGATCCGTAACTTGCTGAAGACGGACCCGACCCAGCGCATGACGATAACGGAGTTCATGAACCACCCCTGGATCATGGTGAGTGCTGGGGGGAGGAGCAGCAGGATGGTGGGGGGGTACAGATGGGGCAGGGATGGGATGGGATGGGATGGGATGGGATGGGATGGGATGGGATGGGATGGGATGGGATGGGATGGGATGGGATGGGATGGTACAGGATGGCTGCAGCTCCCAGCTCACACTCCTCCTCTCCCTGCAGCAATCCATGCAGGTGCCCCAGACCCCGCTGCACACCAGCCGGGTGCTGAAAGAGGAGAAGGATCTGTGGGAGGATGTGAAGGTAAAAACTCTCTCCTTTGCTGTCTGCAATGCTCTGCCCCCTGGTGTCCTCTGGGGACTGTCATCTCCTGTCTTCTCACTGCAAAAAAGGCTCATTCACCAGCCTTGGGAGTGCTCAGAAACTGTGTAGATGTGGCACTTGGGGGCATGGTTTAGTGGTGGACCTGGCAGTATTGGGTTAACCACAGGATCATAGAATAGTTTGGGTTGGAAGGAACCTTAAAGATCATCTCATTCCAACTTCCTGCC